ATTTATCATATGTCGATAGTGCAAGAAGAAGTCTTTGCAGAAGAGATTAAGTGTTTGAGAGGCAATAGACCCAGTCTCAAGGGGTTAAGCCCACTATTCAAACTGAACCCAATAATCGACAATGAAGGCATGCTTAGAGTTGGACGACTGAATAAGTCAAACCTGCTAAGAAGGGAACAGAACCCTTTGATAGTACCAAGAAAACCACCATTTGGCAACCTTGATTATCCGGGGCATTACCATGAGAGAGTCAGACATCAAGGAAGACACTATACTGAAATTGGTACCATCAGAGTTGCAGGGTTCTGGATAATTGGAGTGAAAAGACAAATAGACCACGATTATTCATAACTGTGTCAAATGTCAGAAGTTGAGAGGTAAGACAGCAGTATCAACAGATGGCTGACCTACCCGCAGACAGACAGAGAGTGAAGATGCAGGCCCTTTACATATGTTGGAATCGATGTGTTTGGGACCATGGATAGTAATGGCCAGAAGAACTCGTGGTGGTGAAGTCAACAGCAAAAGATGGGCTGTAAATGTTCACTTGTTTAAGTGTAAGAGCTGTACATATCGAAGTGATTGAGTCAATGAACACTTCGAGTTTTATCAACGCTCTAAGGAGATTTCTTGCTCTAAGAGGTCCTGTAAAGTTGTTTAAGATCAGATTGTGGAACGAATTTCATTGGTGCTTGCAGAGAGTTACAGATAGACCAACAACAAGTTGGAAATTATTTGAGTGATCAAGGCTGCGTATGGAAATTCAACCCACACACTCTTCGCACATGGGCGGAGCATGGGAAAGCATGATTGGGATGGCAAGGCGCATACTGGACTCAATGTTGCTTGACCGTGAGTTCTTCACGCCTTACCCATGAGGTGCTCACCACATTCCTTGCTGAGGTCGCAGCAGTAATCAACTCAAGACCATTGACTGCCGTATCTACAGACCCAGAATTTCCGACTATCTTAACTCTAGCTACATTATTGAGCCAGAAGATTGGACAGATTCCAGTGCCAAAAGGTATTTTCGTTGAAAAAAGGACATATATAAACGTCAGTGGAGATATGCACAATACCTTGCAGATCGTTTCTGGGACAGATGGAGGAAGGAATACCTCACTCTTCTCCAAGGACGTAAAAAGTGGCAAACCCAGAAGCCCAACTTAAGGAAGGGGACCTGGTCCTGCTAAAAGGACCAGCAAACCTCATCGGATCCAGTGGCCAGTTGGACTTATTACAAAAGCCATTGCCAGTGATGATGGAAGAGTCCGAAATGTGGAAGTTAGGATCGTTAAGGACGGAGACTCAAAAACCTTCCTCAGACCAGTTACTGAGATTGTCCTAATTATGCCTGCTTCTAGTAATTCTGATTCAGTGTTATGTGAGGGGGAGTCACTTAAGACCTCTAATATAGCTAACTTGCAGAATTGAGAAGGTTAGATAGTATTTTACTGTATGCAATGTTAATCGTATTTTAAAAGGAAGAAAATAATTGTGTAGTGGTATCTCTCGATACCAGACGGGGAGTGTGCTGCCACGCAGCTTTACTGTTTAGCAGTTGTTATTTACATGTTATATTTATATGTTATTTGGTATCATCCACACACCCCTGCTGTTTCTGACTAGTTGGTTGCTTCCACCTTCATTTCCTGTTGTAACACCATTTTAGTTTAGTGGTTATCAAGATGCTGTAGAGTGAGGAGGCTATGTACATCACTGGAAATTTACCTATGAAAACACCTTTATGTTCACACCTTTGTTACCTTGAAGCATAAAGAAGCATTGGAAAATACCTCTGAAGTTGTTATTCATTGAGTAAACTATCTGTTAAGGCGATCATTCAACTTGCTGCACACATTCTGACAGACTGGGTCTAAACGAATCTCGCCACAAGTACAACCGATGCCAAGACAGAACAACCGTAGTTTGTCACCATTCCACGGGTGTGTGCAATTTTTAAAGTGTGATGTGTTGGGGTATCTATTTACTCGGCAAAGCATCATCCTTTTATATTTTACAAAAATGTGTTTTTGTGTTTTTTTGTGCATTTAAAATTAAAGTGGGTATCTATTTGTTCAAAATAATTATTTGAAAATCCGATGTGCAAATACCATGTGGCATAACGAATTGCAACAACCTCCATTTTATTCTCCAGGGCCTCTGCTTAAAATATATAATGTTTGGGGGTTCTAAGTAATTTTCTAGCAAAAAAAATAATTTTTACATGTAGGAGAGAAGTGTCAGAATTAGCCTGGTAGGCAATTAATTTAAAATAGAGAATTCATGCAAATTGTAGTAATTTGAAGACTTTTCTGTTTCTTCAGGAAAACTCTTATCTGGGAGAAAACTCTCTTGACAATAGTCGCCACTGCCACCCTGCCTAATTAGCACCGCTAGTTTGCTGGTCTCCCCCCCATGTTATATGGCTGCAGAACTTTGCAGCTAAAGCCCAATGTGGGGGTAATCTGACCCATTTAGCACTGTTGCAGATTATTTTGCACCACCAGAACTACAGGCAATAGGAACTGCCAATATAATTTCACTTTTCCTATGTCATTCGTACCACAGGAGGGCATTTTAATGGTTCTAGAATAGTCATTGGGTGGCACTCTTGCCTTTTTGGAAAGTTTTGTAATCTGGGAAAAACTTTATTTTGTTTCTAATTTACTAAGATTAGCAGAAAAGCATTCCTTTTTATATTGGTGTGGTGAGAAGAAACGGTATGGTGATTTGTTTTAGAACAGTGATTGTTAGCATTTTCTGTTTCTGGGCCTTTCACCTATTCTCTAGAGGCAGAAATACAGCTGGTTGATGGAACTTCAGGTCAGATTAACACTTTCTATGGCTAGTAATGTCCAGCTTCAGCCAATATTCTTTTATTTTAAATAGAGTAAAAAAAAAAATGAAAGCGAATCTAAGATTTGCATTCTTATCTTATTCCACCTGATAAAACAATAGCAGAAGAAATGAGGGAAATGAGAGTTGCTTAGACCAGAAATACCAATAAAATCCTCAGATTTTTATATACAGTGGGTAAAATAAGTATTGAACACATCACCATATCTCAGTAGATATATTTCTAAAGGTGCTATTGACGTGAAAATGTTCACTGTCAGTAACAACCCATACAAAGAAGTCTTTAGGCTCCATTCACAATTGTGTGACTTCAAAATTATGTGATTTTCATTGCGACTTTGGTGCTACTTTGGCTTTGACCAAGGATGATTGTTTGTGCTGTACACAATTTCACACAAGTCACATGTCACATGTACAACATTCAAGTGTGACTTTGGGGGGTTTACATTGAAGTCTATGGCCCTCAAGGCACATGAAAGTTGGTCCAAAGTAGTGCAGGAACTGCATTCAAGTCGCACAGATATGAATGGTACTCATTGGGAAACATGGGGTTCATCTTGTCATGCGACTTTGGACCCCAAAGTCTCATGACCAACCGCACAAGTGTGTGTAGATTTTCTATTGGATTCAAGTCCTGGCTGGGCCATTCTATCAGCTTTATTTTCTTTCTTTGAAACCAATTGAGAGTTTCCTTGGCTTTGTGTTTGGGATCATTGTCTTGCTGAAATGTCCACCCTCGTTTCATCTTCACCATCCTGGTAGATAGCAGCAGAGTTTTATCAAGAATGTCTCTGTACATTTTTCCATTCATCTTTCCTTTGATGACATGAAGTTTGCCAGTACTGTATGCTGAAAAACAGCCCCACACCATGATGTTCCCACCTCAATGCTTCACTTTGGTATGGTGTTTTTGGGGTGATGTGCAGTGCTATATGACCTCCAAACATGGTGTGTATTATGACATCCAAAGAGTTCAATTATGGTCTCATCTGACCAGACTATATTCTCCCAGTATTTCACAGGCTTGTCTAAATGTTGTGCAGCAAACTTTAAATGAGCTTCAATGTGCTTTTTCTTCAGCAAAGGAGTCTTGCACAGTGAACGTGCATACAGGTCACGATAGTTGAATGCATTACTTATTGTTTTCTTTGAAACAATTGTACCTGCTAATTCCATGTCTTTCTCAAGCTCTCCACAAGTGGTCCTTGGCTCTTGTACAACTCTTCCGATAATTATTTTCACTATGGCAAAAATCTTGCGAGGAGAATCTGGTCGTGGTCAGTTTATAGTGAAATTATGTTCTTTGCACTTCTGGATTATGTCCCCAACAGTGCTCACTGGAACATTTTGCAACAATAAATTTGCAAAGGTCTTGAGAGAGCTCTTTGCTTTTACCCACCATGAGAGGTTTCTTCTGTGACACCTTGGTAATAAGACACCTTTTTACGGGCCATCAGTTGAGACTGAAGCTGCTGATATTAATTTGCACTGACAAGGGGCAGGATTGCTTTCTAATTACAGATAGATTTCAGCTGGTGTCTTTTTTTGTATCTCCCTTTCTTCATCTGTTCAATAGTGTGTGTGTGTGTTTGTGTGTGTGTGTGTGTGTGTGTGTGTGTGTGTGTGTGTGTGTGTGTGTGTGTGTGTGTGTGTGTGTGTGTGTGTGTGTGTGTGTGTGTGTGTGTGTGTGTGTGTGTGTGTGAGATCTCTATCACCTTGCTAGTGGCAAGAAAATCTCCCCCACACCATTACATCACCACTACCAGCTTGAACCGTTGATACTGATGTACTTAATAATAAAGTGGCCTGTGTGTGTATATCTATCCATTGTCCAGTTCACTTCCCAGAGTTTTGGTTGCCTGGTCCCCCTGCTTCACTCTGTGGTTCCTTTCACCAGTCCCTGCCTCACTATTGTATTCTATAGTGATGTAGGGATCAATAGATGGCACCACGGAGAGGAGTGCTGGCTTTTGCCACTCCTGGAAGTGTTGAATGTGGATTGTTAAGCAAGATTCTTTTAACTTTGTGGAGCTTGCTGCACAAGCAGGAGTACAAGTAAGAGTGTTTGATTTTTAGGGAGCTGCTGGCAGCTGTTTATAAAATGTGCATCATAGGCTTTGATTTTTTTTTTTTCATCCTAGGTATGTGGAGTTCAATCTCGTCTATGACAGAGGTACCAAGTTTGGCCTTGCAACTCCCGGCTCCAGGATAGAGAGCATTCTGATGTCTCTGCCATTGACTGCCAGGTAAGGATTTTGTAATATATTACTTTTGTTAAATCCTGCTATCCTGTTTCTTGATGTCTTAGATCACAATCACTTGGCTATTAACCACAACAATGAAAAGCTTCAGTAAGATAGTCTAAACAAGTGCCAAATCCAGTTACTGTGTGATGCAGAATCCACTTGCAGACCAATGATGTACCCGTATGTTGCTGGACTTTCGGTGGTTATTCCGAAGTGATACTTTTTTTTTTTTTTTTTTTTTTTGTTTAGAGGCAGTGGTTGGCTGTCTTATACAAGCAATCAGAGCGGCTAACTAGCTGCTTGATTTGTACAAGCAGTGGGAGGGGACATCATGGTACCAGGCACTATTATTGGAGCCGGTACCATGTCATCGCTGTGACCAATCATAGCAATGACCTGATCACAAGTAAACAAGTGGAATGAATGGTCTTTCCTTCATAATGGCATTAGTTACTATTGTGATCCCTGTGATTTGGTCGTAGTGATTACATGGTACAGGGTAATTCACAGCGACCCTGTACTATGTGATGGCTATAGCCAATCGCAGAAAACATAATAGTAAACAATGAGTCATGCGTGAAAGCCATTCATGACAGTCAAAATGATCGCTTTTACAGTGCCCATCATGGTAAAGAACAATCCTGGGGGGGACTTGTCATTCACTTAGTCCCTAAACTCCACCATACCAGACATATTGTCCCTGATTGTTGCCACAGCAGTCATTGTGGTATCATAAGAACTTGTTCACATGTGTGATGCTCTCTGAAGAGCCATCAATGTTCAGATCACTCTTCAAAGAGCATTGCCTCCCTCACCACCTGCTTTAACCCCTTGGACCCCGCACAAGCAACCCTGTTCACGGTGGGTGTACAGGGGCTATAATTCCTTCCACAGCTGCAAAGCATCACAGCCACTGCAGGTGTACACCCCCAGCCACTGCCTCTGCAGCTAAAGGGTGTAGCAGTTAAGGGGTGGTAAAATGCCCCCCCCCCCTCCAAATTTCACATGTGAACGAGCACTCATGGTGCAGTCAGTCGAAACTCTTCAATCACCACCACACCAGCCATAGTGTTGCCTGACCAGTGTAGTTAGAATCAGTTTTCCTGATTTGCCTGTTTAATGACCACATTTTTGTTTGTTGCCTGGGTCAATCATTTGCTCATATGCTGACCATGTCTCTGCCTGCACCTGAGCTGACCCATGTGCACATCCATCTGGCTTATGGTCCTGCAAGACACCTGTCACACACTTTTTTTTTTTTGTTGTTCTTTTCTTTAGCCTTCTTTACTTTGTGGCTGGGGAACATGGCATTCCTGAAGGGCAGCCACATAACCAGTAGGCTAGGTTTGCTTAATTATATGATCAGGGAATGGTATAGAATGGTGACCCTACACCTAACCTATATTCTCTGATCACTTGTATAGAGGTGACCATTACAGTGCATTGGTCATGTGGTGTCACCATACTCAGGAGTAGCAGAATGTGTTTTGGTTGTAATTCTAAGTATGCCAAACAAACCATCATGCTTCTTAGAAAATACCTTGAAGTGTTTGCTCCTTCAAAGACCAAAGGTGCTCCCTGGATTTTGGGCCTCTATGTATCTAGGCTGTGAAAGTCTCACATGTGGTATCCCCATACTTAGGTGACATAGCAGAATTTGTTTTGGGGGTGTAATTTTAAGAGGTGTGTGTGTGTGTGTGTGTGTGTGTGTGTGTGTGTGTGTGTGTGTGTGTGTGTGTGTGTGTGTGTGTGTGTGTGTGTGTGTAATAACTTGCTAAAATTGCAACTTTTTTGGGGGGGGGGGGGAACACATTTTATTTAATTTAAAAGATTTACAGTACAAATTAAACTCACGATACCACCACTTACTAAATATCTTGGACATTTTTAAGGCCTGAAGAAATTACATTAGCAGCCAGTACGTTAGGATTGATCCTATTTCAAATAATTTGTCTGTCTATCATATGCAGGAATGGAGTGTGGAGGGGTATGGTGGTGGTTAGTATGTACAGGAGAGGAATACATATGATATGATCGCAGTTAGTTTGCGCAGGAGAGGAGTGGGGAGTGTATGGTGGCAGGTACTATGTGTATAAAAGCAGTACTCAGTGTATGGCATTGGGTAGTATGTGAAGGAGAGGAGTGCACACCATATGTCTCTGCTCATCCTTGCACCCCAGTACCCCCCCTTTTTGCTCATGTTTGCATTCCAAACTAATCTTTGTTACCTCTTGATTTCCCCCCCCCCCCGCCCCCAATCCTTCTGCTGACCTTTGCAGTACAGGCTGATGGAAGGCCCCATGCCAGCGGCAGTTTACATCATACAGCAGAGGTGGACTTGGGGCACATGGGGAGTTTGATATACCTATGAATTCGCAAACAATTTACATATCAATGTGCCTACCATTTACATATCAATGCCACCTCCTGTCTGCGATTTATATATTGACTCCACCTGCTGTCCCACAAGTTACACATCAGTCGTGTGCACACACAGAGCAGGGCTTAGCAGCATTAGAGGCTCACTGGGCTGGCCCTTTCTTAAGGTAGGGGCCTGGAGCTGTAGCTACCCCTATGTTAATCTGGCCCTGCTTCTACCCAGACATATTCTTATGGAATAAGTGTGGCATGTGGAAAACTGTATGAAAAAGTGCACGATGGTGAAAATTAGCATTAAGTTTAAAAGAGGAAATTAGCAATAAAGACATCGAGGAGATGCAAATCTGTTGTGTGTGTTTTTGTATTTTAACCACTTGCCGACCAGCCACAGTACATATACTGCGGCAGGTCGGCACCGCTACGCAAATTCACGCGTGTGTGCATGTATGTATGTATGTACGTACACTTGCATTTCAGATAGGGGCACGTACGACTGCCTTACCTGCGCCGCCGATCGCAGCCGTGGGTATCAATCACTGGGTCCCGGCTGGTGATTACCCGCTGGAGCCTAGCGATTAACGGCAAACACTGCATTTAGCCCCTACGCTTACCCCCCCCCCCACACTTCTCCCCCCGCAAGTGCAGTGTCAGTAGGTCACTGTCAGTGTTCACAGAATCAGGCCTGAACTCTGCTGTATATGAGCGTTATCAAAATTTACCAGCAAGTGCTAACAGAGTGCCGGTACTAGTGCTACGCTACCTTTTTGGTGAACTGGCGAGCACCAGCAGCCTAGTACATACTGGTCTTTCACATACCAGCACTGCAGTATCACTTGGTGATGTGGCAAGTCCCATTTGCAAGCACACTGGCCTGTAGAGCCCCTAGTATCCTTCCAGATGTGCTTGCAAATCCTGATTGGTAGCCCACAAATTCTGCAGCACCCATACTTCCCCCATTCACTGCCCAACCCGGAGTTCAGGTGGAAACTGCAAATTTAACTCCTCCCCTTGATTTTTTAGAGCTGTTTTTCACGGAAGATCTGTATGCATTGATTGTGAATCAAAGCAATTTATATGCACAACAGTTTATCGCCGCCAACCCAAATTCAAACCTTGCCAGACCCCTTGCATGGAAACCAGCTACGGTTTCCAAATTTTACATATATAATTTTTTTTTTTTTTTGGGCCTAATCCTCAGCATGGGCATTACTAATAAAAAAAAAATTGCGGTTGTATTGGTCCACAGATCCGATTCATCATATGCCTGTGTTCTCTACTGCCATGGCCAGGCATAGATATGAGAGTATAATGTTTTATGCATTTCAACAACAATACACTGTCGTCTTCAAGGTGACCCTGAATTTGACCAGCTCCACAAAATTTGGCCCCTCGTAATCACCTTAACCAAAAATTTGCAGATGTCTATACTCCCCAGCAAAAAATCTGCATTGGGGAGTCCCTCATTCATTTTTCTGGCCATCTTACATTCAAACAACTTCTCCCCAGAAAGTGTACCAGATATGGGGTCAAGATGTAGAAGACCTGTGAGAGGGCAGCAGGCTATATATATAAGTTTTGGATTTACGAGGGAAAAGATAGTCACGTGGAGCTCCCCCCCCCCCCCCCCCCCCCCCCCCCGGATGCCCAGACTACATGGGGAGCAGTGGCAAGATAGTGTGGGACTTGGTGTCATCCTTTTTGAAAATGGGGCACCACGTATACGTGGACACTTTTTATTCAAGCGTACCACTATTTAGACATTTGTACAATCTTGGAACTGGCGCATGTGGCACCGTGCAACCTAATGTGTGCCCACCATTAGAAGTGGGTGGATGCAGGGCGGTATATTCTAATGGTGGGAATACCATATACTTTTTCTGGCAGAGATTTCTTCTCTTTTTTTTCATTCAGCTGACAGGCTGCATACAAAAAAAAAAAAGAACATGGCATATATATACCCAACAAGGACCTGGTACATCACTGGTTATACCAGGCTGATGCCTACAGCTGCAGGGATCATCCTGGTATTGTTTTTTTTTCAGCCAGCGATCGTCTGTCATGTAAAAGCAATCCTAGTGGCTAATTAGCTGCAGGATTGGTTTTACAAGTGGCGGGAGATGATGCCCTCCTCCCTCGCTGCCTTCCACGGCCTTCTCGGGCAGTCCTGTGCCATCGGGGGAACCTGAGAATGCAGCTGGTGTTTCTGACAGCTGATCATAGAGCTGATTGGAGACCAGAGTGGTGCCAATCATCTCTATAGCCTAAGAAATCGGAAGCTGCAAGCATTTCATCACTTCAGTTTTGCAGGCTATAAACAGCCCTATTTATAAATTGGAAAAGCATCTGATCACACTGATCTTGGTGAGATTAGATAATGTAAGGGCAGAGGAGATATCCAGAGTTTGATAGACCCCAGATTTCTCAAAACATATATGACAATGCCCATTGAAGTTATAGGGGTTATTTGCATTCCCTGTTATAGCATTAAAAGTGATTAAAAAAAATGAAAGATACAATATAAAAATAACTAAAAAAAAAAAAAAAAAAAATCGCCCCTCCCTTGCGCGCACACTTGTGTTCACAAGCCTTGACCCTGTGCCAGTATGTAAACAGCGGTTGCACCATGCATGTGAGGTATTGCCATGCACGTCAGATCAAGGGCAGTAATTCTAACACTAGACCTCTGTAAATCTAAAATGGTTGCCTTTAAAGGCTTTCAAAGCTACCAGCATTTCATCACTTCAGTTTCGCAGGATATAAACAGCGCCATTTGTAAATTGGGAAAGCACCTGATCACACACCGATTTTGGCTTGATTAGATAATTTAATGGCAGAGGAGATATCTAGAGTCTGATAGACCCCAGATTTCTCAAAAAAGAATAAATGACAATGCCCATTGAAGTTATAGGGGATCTCTGCATTCCCTGTGATAGCATTAAAAAGTGAATTTAAAAATAAATTTAAAAAAAAATGAAAGGGACAGTGTAAAAATAATTTAACAAAAAAAAACGCACACCTGTGTGCGGGAGCGTTGACCCTGTGCCGGTATGTAAACAGCGGTTTGCACCATGCATGTGAGGTATTGCTGTGAACGTCAGATCAAGGGCAGTAATTCTAACACTAGACCTCCTCTGTAAATCTAAAATGGTAGCTTGTAAAGGCTTTTAACACGTTGCCTATGGATATTAAAAACGTATGCAGTTTGTTGCCATTGCATGGGGCATGTGCAGTTTTTAAAGCACGTCATGTTTGGCATCTATTTACTTGGCATACCATCATCTTTTATATCTTACCAAATAAAAGTAAAAAAAAGTGTATTTTTTTTTTTTTTTAAATTGCATTTGAAAAATCGCTGCATGAGTACTATGCGACATAAAAAATTAAGGCACCCACCATTTTTTTTTCACTAGGGTGTTTGCTTTAAAAAAATATATAATGTTTAGGGGGTTAAAATTAATTTCCTAGCAAAAATAACTTTTTTTTTTTTTTTTTTCTTTCTTCATGTGAACAAAAAGTGTCAGAAAAGGCTTGGTCTTCAGGTGGTTAGAAGAGTGAGTGATGTGTGGCATAAACTTCTAATGCTGGGCATAAAACGCCCCCACCCACCAAAATGACCCCTTTTTGAAAAGTAGACACCCCAAACTATTTGCTGAGAGGCATGTTGAATCAATAGAAGAAATTATTTTTTTACCACAAGTTTTTGGAAAATGACAAAAAATTTCTTTTTTTTAACACAAAATTGTCATTTAAATGATTTATTGCTCACACATGCCATGAGTATATGTGGAATAACTCCCCAAAATACATTCTGCTACTTCTCCCAGTATGAGGGTACCACATGTGAGAGACGTTTTGGCAGTCTAGCCAAGTACAGGACCCCAAAATCCAATAAGAACATGCAGGCTTTGAAAGGGTTTTAGTTCCTCATTACACTTCCTGACTACCTATCACAGTTTCAGAGGCCCTGAAGTGCCAGGATAGCACCAACCAACCCCCCCCCCCCCCAAATGACCCATTTTTGGCAAGTAGACACCCCAAGGAATTTGATAAGAAGCATGCTGAGTATTTTGCAGATCTCGTTTGTTGCCACACGTTTTTGGAAAATTAAGAAAAACAAAACTATTATTATTTATTATTATTATTTATATATATATAAAAATAATTTTTTTTTGTTTAATATTTCAAAACCTTGTGAGAAAAAATTACATCTGCAAAATACTCACCATGCCTCTTTTTAAATTCCTTGGGGTGTCTACTTTCCAAAAAGGGGTCATTTGGGGAGGTTTGGTGCTAAGTTAAGCACCTTCAGGCTTTCAAAGTGGTCATTGGATTTCAAGCTCCTGCATGTGGCTAGGCTCCCAAAAAGTCTCACATGTGGTATCCCCATACTCAATAGAAGTAGCAGAATGTATTTTGTGGTGCAATTTCACATATACTTATGGCTTGTGCGAGAAATATATAATTTAAATGACAACTTTGTGTTGAAAAAAAAAAGTTTGTCATTTTTCCAGAAACTTGTGGGGAAGAAAAAAATCTTCCATGGACTCAATATGCCTCTCAGCAGATAGCTTAGGATGTCTACTTTCCGAAAAGGGGTCATTTGGGGGTGTTTGTACTATCCTGGTATTTTAGCACCTCAAGAAATGTGATAGGCAGTCAGAAAGTAACAGCTGTGTTAAGTCTATTATCTATACCATAGTTTGTAGACGCTATAACTTTCACACAAAGCAATAAATATACACTTATTTGGATTTTTTTAACCAAAAACCTGTAGCAGAATACATTGTGGCCTAAATATATGACGAAATTTCAGTTTGTTTTTTTTTGGATATTTTTTATGACAGAAATGAGAAAATATAGTTTAAAAAAAAAAAAAAAAAAAAAAGTTTTTCTTTATAGCGCCAAAAATAAAAAGCGCACAGGTGATCAAATGCTGCCAAAAGACCAAAAGAAAGCTCTATTTGTGTAAAACAAAAAAACATACATTTTATTTATGTACCATATTACATGACCGCGCAATTGTCTGTTAAACTAGTGCAGCGCTGTATAGCAAAGAAATGGCGTAAATTGCAGTATCTATACCATAGTTTGTAGACGCTATAATTTCACACAAAGCAATCCATATACACTGATTGGGATTTGTTTTACCAAAAACATGTAGCAGAATACATTTTGATCTAAATTTATAACTAACTTTGAGTTTACTATATATTTTTTATAGCCGAAATAAAAAATATCGTTTTTTTTCTTAAAATTTTTTGATTTTTTTGTTTATAGTGCGAAAAATTAATAGCGCACAGGTGAACAAATACCACCAAAGACAGCTCTATTTGTGTGGAAAAAAGTACATAAATTTCGTTTGGGTACAGCATTGCATGACCACGCAATTATCAGTTGAATTAGTGCAGTGCCAAGTAGCAAACATAGGCCTTGTCAGGAAGGGGGGTAAATCCTCTGGAGAGCAAGTGGTTAATCCATGCAATAACTTTTAATTGTTTTGTTTTTTCTGCCAGATGGGAATACAATCATGTACCACCTCCGGAGTCACGGGAAGCTGAAATTCTTAGTATTCTGCGGGAGCCCAAGGACTGGGTGCATTGATGTCATCAGGAAAATGTTAACTCCTCTCATTCTCTACTTTTATTCCACTTGTGCCTTGAAACAGAACAGAACTTCTGGAAAACAGCTAAATGTAATTTGAATGTAAATTTACTTGTAAGCTGCTAATTTTTCAATCTGTACAACCAGGCATGTGCTCTTACTATAAAGTGTTTTTTTTTTTGTTTGTTTTTTTTTTTTTTTCTTTCTCTGGACTCCCCTTGTCAGCTAAGGGCTCATGTACACGGGGCGTTTGGGAAAACTGTTTTGAAGGATGGAAACTGACTGCTGGAAAACGTAGGTTAAAAAAAGTCAGGTTAGCTGCATTTGCATACCACATTTATGCTCATTTATTTGCATTTAGAAGCGTTTTTTAAAGGATAACCTCAGGAGACCCTCCCAAATTTCAGAATGCACTGAAAAATCGTAAATAATTAACTATTTCAGACACTGTGAGAGGAAAAGAGAGCAGAAGCAGAGAGAGCAGCATGTGTTGAGATGACCTGTCTTTTCTGGTTGTATTCACTATGGATCCCATCATGAGCATAATGCGGCACGTTCTACCATTTTTTTTTTTTTTTTTTTCCTTCATGCAAAACCTGGAACTGACTGTGCTGGTGTACTAGGTCCATTTGAATAAATGGAAAATGCTTTGCATACATTTCTGATAATGAAAAAAGGTTCTAGACAGCATCTGGACATGGAACAGTTAAAAACGCTTATAAACGCAGTTAACTGCATTTAAAAGCATTTGGCATTTGAAACGCCGGTAAAATCTACTCCTGAACGCAAGTTTGGTGCATTAAAAAAAACAGACTGCAAACTCAACTGCCTGTAAACGTCTGTGTGTACATGGACACCTAGGAAAACAAAGAGTTCAGGGGCTGATGAAGAAAAATGCTGAACAGCTCCTGAATGTCAGTTTAGGGGCTGCAGTGTACATGAATCCTAACTGACCCATTTGTATTGCAAGAAAAAAACAAAAAACGAATACCCTTTTCTTACCTAATGCCGTGTTTGTCATACTCCAGTGCAGAGTCTTCCCTATTTGGTTCAAAGGGGGTGGGGGGCTCTTTTGGGTGTCCACATCACTGCCTGCTTGATTGCCTATCCAGTGTGAAATGGTGTCTTCAGTGGTGAAGTTCAGCGCAGAAGGTCTGTCAGGAACAGTCTGTATGTTGCAGGCATATCTCAGTCCCTTTCTCCCAGAATCTGTGCCAGTGAGGGACCTTGGGACCATGCAGCATGGCTTTGGAGAAAGTTAAATATTTGCCAGAGATGAGCTTTAACTGTGTATTTGGCTGTTTGCCTGGCCTGTAACTTTAACTTTAAAGTAATATTCTTGTTTTTCTGCTGGATGAATCCTGCTGGGCTCATCCATACATTGTAAGTCTTTATAATTCTGAGAGTGGGATTCTTCATTTGAGGACCTGACATATATTTTTGGTGGGGTGGGGCTGTTTGCATGACTACACTTTGCATATAGACTAAAATATTGTAACATTGGACACTAAAATAAAAGCTCAAGATAAAGTCCTTCTCTATATGCTGTACACACAAATGATCTTCCTTTCTTTCTTTCTTCTTTCTTTCTTTCCTTTCCTTTCCTTTCCTTTCTTTTTTCTTTTCTTTTTTCTTTCCTTTCTCTTTCCTTTCCCCTTTCCTTTTCCCTTTTCCTTTCCTTTTTCCTTTTTCTTTCTTTTCCTTTTCCTTTTCTTTCTTTCACTTCCACATGGTGTTGCACTAGCAGCGTGTCTATTTCCAGGGCTGCTAATTAGACACACTATTAGCCTCGATTCACACTGTAGCAGGTCGCGTGTGCCATGTTTGCACCTGAAGGGAAGAAGTCCCTGATTCTTGTTTAAAAAACAGGTCCATGCACCTGAAAAGCTGCTACATTCTTCCATTAAGAATTATTGCCACCCTTGCATGTCTGTAAAAGAGCAGTGTGTTTTTGCTTGTGGGTTGGGGTAACGCATGTAGGTTTACAGTGTGAACATAAGCCTAAGATTGGCCTTACATTATATAATTTTCTTGATAATTTTGCTTTAGATTTACCAAAAACCATATAATGAGGTCAAACCTAAACAACACTTTCAGTTATATCCAATTAGGCAGGCTCTTGCACTACATAGTTGAAGGTAAATCTAAAGGAAATTGGACAGAATATTGTATAGTGTATGGTGAGCCTAAATAGTCTTTGTGCCATGGACGGTAGAAAAATAACATTTTTATCCTCTACTCCTATTACACACAAATGACTCTCTCCCTAATGGCGTCACAGGCAGCAATAAAAACCCCGACAGGTGTTCTAATCTAGCTCTACTCTGTCCAAAACTTAAAAAAAGAGAAATAATTATGCAACCAAAATTAGTGTGTACCCTAAAATCCCCCCAGCATTTTCCCTGTTCTTCTGTCGGAGGCTGCCATTTTGCTGAATCCCAGAGCCCCTTGAGCAGTATGTAGTAAATCTGAAGTCTGTCAGCAGATCGGTCTCTAGATTTTCAGCAGTGCCAAAAGGAGTAACTGTGTATGTGCAAAGCACGGTGACACAGTGTATTGCTGGATTTTAAATGTTTAGTCACTTATTTTTAATATTTTGCAAAGCTATATCTGCAAAAGGGGCCACTCTAAAGTGAACTAGCAGGATTTTATTTTCTGACTAAAGTTCTGCTTTAACTAGCATAAAACAAAGCCTAGATGTGGATAGAAAATGTTTGTCATCTGGTTTTACCCTGACAATGTTTATTATAATGATTATTTTGAGCTATCCAATTCCATATGCAAGTATTTTAGTAAAAGTTGATGCACTTAAAGAAAAAAAAAAAAAAAAATCTGCTGCTAGTTGTTCATTTACAGCATGCACTGTGCCTGGTAGAAATCTGAGCATTTAAAAAAGAAAAAAAAAAACATTCAGAATACTTGAGTTTCCCTTTTTATCATGCCTTTGCAATGTGAATGAAGATCTTGCTACTTGTAAAGCTTTGTGTTTTTTTATTATTATTAATAATATCCTGCAAGAGTTGCCTCTGGAGGTGTCCGCTCCCTGTGAATTTTTCTATTTTACTTGATTGTATTACTATTTTATTTGTAATTAAGACTGATTTTACACCTTGACATGTGAAGCTTCAATGGATGTTTTATACATTTTGTATTGATAATTACAGACAACATAGAGCTATGGTGTTATAAATAAATCATTATTTTCCTGACAAACCAGACGTTAGTTCTTTTCCTTCTTTATATGAACTACAGCCATACTAGTGCCAAATTAAAATGTCCCAACACAACAAATTGTTAAGTCCTCATGCACACAGACACTTTTTTACAAGCACATTCTAACTTTTACATGCGTTTAGGCACATTTACAGGCATCAAGCACTTGGACGTTAATTCATTTGAATTTCATTTATTATTCTTTCCAATGACATGAATCAATACTCGAGTGCTAAATGTGCCTAGTATTAGCATGCATTTAGATGTGTTTACAAGCATTTTTTTCTGCAAAAACAGTACTGCTCCTGGATGCACTGGCAGTGTTTTAGATGGGCCAGAACCAGCAACCTCAGCTGTCAGCTGCTATTTTCTTATGACAGCACCCCAATGTATAGGTTATCGGCAGTGCTCTAGAGCAGTGGTCTCCAAACTGTGGCCCGAGGGCCAGATGTGACCTTTGCTAGCCTTTATCCAGCCCCTTGGGGGGGTGTAATAGTCCTCCCAAGGATATGGGGCACTATTCCTCCCACTGACGCCAGTGACGGGCCACTATTCCTCCCACTGACGCCAGTGACGGGCCACTATTCCTCCCACTGACGCCAGTGACGGGCCACTATTCCTCCCACTGACGCCAGTGACGGGCCACTATTCCTCCCACTGACGCCAGTGACGGGCCACTATTCCTCCCACTGACGCCAGTGACGGGCCACTATTCCTCCCACTGACGCCAGTGACGGGCCACTATTCCTCCCACTGACGCCAGTGACGGGCCACTATTCCTCCCACTGACGCCAGTGACGGGCCACTATTCCTCCCACTGACGCCAGTGACGGGCCACTATTCCTCCTCCTACTGACCACAGGCGCTCTGTAACTGACTACCAGCCCTGTGGCAATGTTTCTCACTAATAGTGGGCCTGGGACAGTTTCTATCCCCACTGGCCACAAACCGCCACCCCCCCCCCCCCCCCAATGTCTGAAGGACCGTAAACTAGCCCATTGAAAAGTTGGGAGACCTCTGGTTTAGGAACAAGTGCCAATCAAGCATTTTAGTGTTCAACTCACACGGAACATGCCTGGCATAGAATTTTTTTTTTTTTTTTTACAATGGTAAACCGACAGCAGGAATATGCAAATCTCCAATGCTGTCATTGTACACGCTCCTTGGCTTGTCGATGACCTGGAACAATCGTGTATGTATATGGTGGTAGGACACTGAATATTTACATGCTTCTTATCAAGCCAGTGACAGTCTTATGTAATGAGAAATCTGTGTGAATAAAAGAGCATGCCAAACTATCATCTGAAGAGTCCAAGATTCTTTATTAATGTCATCACACAACAACAGGAAGATAAGACATCCAATGCATTTTGATGACTGAGAATCTCATTTCCTCAGGTCTTAGTGTGGGGAAAAAATGGTGTCTATGGGACTTGAAACAAGCTCCTGGTTATGAATCTCTTGACAGGGAAGAAGAATTAATGTTCCTCAGTGATCCATCACTTGGTCATAGAAGCAGCAACCTCACATTAATAATATATAAGGGTTGTAAAGCCTCAGGTGACATAGAGATGAGTATTTTTACAGACCGTTTGTAGAAGTCACTGTGATTTTTACTGCCTGTAAAAGTCTGCAAAAATACTGTCTGTCTTACCCCCGTAGTCTCTATGGTGGGCTGGCAGTGGATTGGTAAGTTTACTATCTCCCAAGTCCTGCCCACTGCCCGCCTGTCAAAACTATTGATTGCTAGACTGGCTTAGCGTCCTAGCAACCAATAAGATGCACAG